TTAAAGCCCGTGAGTCGCCATAGATTAATTTTAATGCGTCAAAAAAGGACTAATGCCCAGTGACAAACAGAAAGGCGAGGCCGAAGGCCGAGCGATGATTCGAATCCTAAGAGTTACCATAGATAACATGTGTTGCTTCAAAAAAGCAAAAGAGCCTTGCGTTAATTTTTGCGAGGCTAAGTTTGCGTCCACCACCACATTTACGTTCAAGTAACTAATCACTCTTAAATACAGTGGAACCGTACCTACTAAACTGTAGGTATTATCGAATGTGATGATATTATCGAATAGGGTTATAAAAATTGGAATCCACTTTATTCAACCGCATAAACGTTTTGTTTTCGTTGTGTGACTTCATATTCACTCAACAAAAATAAAAAATATAGACTCTATAGATAGGTCTAGGCTACGTCCATTTATGCCATGAAACTGGTACTGATTTGAATATTTTTTCAGCTGACAAAAATACTTACTATTTGGAACGTTTTTTCGTATCAATGTTTATTCACAGTCATACAAAACGGCCTCAAACTAATATAAAAATATGAAAGACATGTCCCACAATTGAGTAGGAATAGACAACGATTTCTTAGTAAAACCTACCTTACTTAATATTCTGATGCTTTATTTCCAAGACACTTTGACATACCGACCCACGCTCGAGAGGGTAAATAAACTAAGCCCGTCCTACCCCGCCCTAAAGGGGTAAAGAAAGAAATGTCATCTACTTAAAACGAGAGAAAATACGAGGAATCTACACTAGTTAATTTACGTGAGCCTCATTTTACTTGAATTAGGTTTAATTGTAGTAAGAATTACAGTAGGTACAGATGGTAATCTTAAGTTTTTGATCTTAATTATCTTATTTTTGTCTTAGAATTAAATGTAATTAGACTCCACCCACACGAGTATATTAACATCAAAGAACAGGAGGTACAATTCTTCAATAAAAGCATCTAGATTCTGTCTAACTCTCACTTGCACCTGGGTTTGTGACTAGGTATTTCATTTGTGTGATGAATTTTAATTCGCGATTCTTAGCTGTGCTAATACTAACTTTTCCCCACATAGAATTTACTGGTATGTAGGTATGTACATGTACTCGTACCTTTCAAATTGAACTTATTTTTGCAAATAAAGCATTTTATATTTTAATAAATACTTATTCACAACTTACAAATTCTTGTTTAATGAATCTGTAATTACTGTTCTCAAGAAACTAAGTAACGTCTAACAACTATACAAACCGCTTAAACAGTACTAAATTCTCTAAGCCGCGTAAGGATCTGTACACAATAAATTATTCCAGAGACATGCCACACGAGGCTTCCCAAATAGTTAGCCTTTATGGGTACGAGAGTATCTACAAGTGCCCCACTTGTACCTTCATAAGCATTCGTATATTTTTACTTACTTATAGATCGCTCAACGAAAATTGAGGCGAACATGTCCACACACTGATATAATATTTAAATACAGAACCTTGCTCTTGCTAAATGTCTTCAAGCAAGTCAGAAAGCTCTTGTCAGCAAGACGTCAGCGCAGACAGCGTACGTAGTACGTAGATATAAAATCTTTGCTTGTGTTGATGGCCTCAACTCTCGTTGCGCGACCTATACTTAGATATCCACAAGATCCAGATAGGTAGAGAAATTATTTTGCAAATCAAAGGTCCTAGATATGACTGTGGTGTCGCAGAGCGTGAAATAAGCTATTTATAAACGGCTTAAATAAAGGACAGCGAACCAGATGTACCCATCAAAACAGATTTTCGATTACTCAACCGTAAGATATTTCAGTCGCGAAAAATAAACTGTATTTACTTTGATGATAAATGAAATGTTTTTCACATGTTTGTACCTGTTTTTTGGCTTTGATAGACGTGTTTTAATGTTGTTTTTATGTATTAGTAGAATTTAAACTTCAAGGTTACTAAAGCTTGCATTTTGTTTACCACAACCACGTTACAAGTTGTTGAAAATTAGCGTACCTAGTGGGAAAATATGCAATATCTACTGATGAATCAAGAGTATTAAATACTTATGTTCATTTTTAAGTAACATACTTTCACTTTATCTGGTTTCTATAAGATATTGTGTACATTATTTCCGCCATTGTAGATGAATATACCTACTTTTACTGGAATCACAAAGTCTGCTCTATATTTTTTCAAATCAATTTACGCTCACCATAGCGTTTACGAGCATACGTGAGAAATTTAAATATCCATATTTTATTTACGGCCTTTTGTTACCGTCATAGTTAAACCTCGCCTATCACACAGCCACTGGATATTTCTATTTATGAATGCTATCTATAGCGGCTAAAATGGCTCAAATTTGAGCCATCAGGGGCAGTTAGAGTAATATTATGCTGTATCAAAAAGATATTCGCCACTACTTGCAGGTCACGTACGGAGCTTTCCGCTGTGCTTTGACACGTTCTTTTCAGATAAACGCTTTCAAAAGTTACGCGGATGCAATGGTTAAAAGCTCGTGGGCTTCAGTTTCCAGTTACGAATTTGCGATGGAATGGTTGAAACCGATATCCACACAGGCTTCCCTCAGAGGTTTTTGGTATTAACATAACTAGCGACCTACCCCGGCTTCGCACGGGAGCTAAGTATACTTACATATAAACCTTAAATTTCTCTTAAATCACTCTATTAAAAACCGCATCAAAATCCATTGCGTAGTTTTAAAGATCTAATCACACATATGTACAGACAGCGGAATACGACTTTGTTTTATACTATGTAGTGAGTAGTGATGATAAGCTTATGAAATTTCATTATCTATGTAATAGGTACATTACAAAATTCATGATGAATTTGAAAACTGTGATGTTCATGAAACACAACACGTTTATTCGATTCAATCCGTTTAATTTTCATTTAGTCATAATTTAAATACAACAACATCATAATTGTTTTTTTTATTTTTGTTGTTTCTCTATTCTGATTATTATAATATCAGAGGAGATTTACGTTTACCTACTGTAAGTTCCCTTACACTAAGACTCTACCTAATTATTATAATATAAATGGATAAAGATACTCGTACCTACATTCATTTTAATCATATTAATCTACTGTAACTTTAAGTCACAACTGTCCAGCTGTGATGTCATACTTAACGAGCCACACCGTTGATTTACGCATATAAATTGGGAATCCCTTGACAATTTCCACCTAGCAATCAAAACTGGTTGAGAAAATCTAACTAACTAGTTATATTAGTGGTTAATTGACCACTCGAGCACAGAGACTTCTCTTAACTTTTTGGAAAAAATTGCTCAGCAATTTACTAACATTATCATAAGTTTATTCAAACACTTAACAGGTGGGCTGAAGGGTAATGGGGATGCTTTAACCCTTCTTTACCTGAGTGCACCCTTAAGTGTCATAGTTATGTAGGTCATGTTGGAGTAGTTGGGTTGCGAGGGGTTGTCTTGTGACGGGAAGTGACGTGGGTGATATGGACAACTTTTTTTCGACTTTCGTAACATATCAATATTAATATCAGTAAATGTTATGAAGGGTCACTAGTAGAGTGATCATTGATGGTTTTGGTTTTACTGCTTGTCGCATCTATTTCAGTGATGTAAAGCCACTCATAAAGTATTAGATACTTATCAGTCAGGTGAACTACCACGTTAAAACGTTGTGAAACTCACAGGTCTTATCCAATTGCCAGAAGTATAGAGTCAGCGGCAAACGTTTATTTGTTGGATGAAGCTTTAATTATCTCAGTTAACTATCGGAAACTAACTGGAACTGGTAGAATGCTTTTAAAACACAAATTACTTCCTTGGATACACCGGTATACTGGATAGCTCTACCAAAGAGCCAAACTTTAAGTGTAGGCTTAATGTTGACATTGTTAATCACCTTAAATTAGACCGTAAAATTTGTTGCCTATCTTATTGAAATCTATACAGCAAATATCATACCAAATCATACAAATAAATACGAAACTCCAAAAGAGAAAACACAGCTAATCTCACCAATATTCTATATCATAATCACAAAAACATTTTCATTTCCCTGTAACAAGATCAGCTGTCAGAGCGTATTTCACGTAGAATCGTTTTATTTCTATCATTCACAGACCGTTTTAATAATCGTCGAGTCAATATCAATCCCTACTAATTAGTCAAACTATGTGTAATTACTTGGACGGTATTGATTGTATTGTAAGTGACGTATGTGGACACGAACTTCATTATTATCTACAAATGGAGAGATAATTGAGTAGTTGATATTTCGTTTAACGTCCTTCTAGAATTTTCCTAGAAAAGTGATTGCTTTGGTGACAACCTTCAGGTATCTCGGGGATCTAATACATTATCTACTTGCGGGGTTTATCCACATATGCGTTCAAAATACTCCGAAACAGTGTCTCAAATTGGTATGGTAAAGTAATTAAATTTTCATGTACTTAGCCCATTTTTTCCTAATAAATTCGTTCACACAGGCTGTCACAGAGGAGGTAATATCAGTTAATTACGAAAATTATTTTCAGGGATTGAAAAATCATTTGCTCTACTAATTAAGTATTCTTCAGAATAATTAACTTTTGTAATTAATCCATCGCCACCAGTATCCACCTCAGCTTTCTCATATCACACTCTACACTTCACATCACCACACATAACAACTTATTAAACTTTTCAAATTAATCCAGTCTTCATAGATTCTTGTTACATTGTAAACTTAATTAATAATTATCAGATAGGTAGGTAGGTACTTTAAATATTTACACGCGATGCCAAAGTTAAGTCAATAATGGAAAAGTCTTAAAGTTTCATTAACTTCGATACTGTATTGTATCCCAGGAGTTAAAAGTTAGATTGGATTGTAAATAATAATAAATATTACTCAAAAATTCACTAAAACCACGTTTCAAAAGTGGAATTTTACGACGTACGCGAGTCATAAAACTTTAAGCCGCCGATTTAATAAAAGAGCAACTAAAGTAAGAAATATTGCAGGGAATCACCATTTAGTTGAAGTTAGAGTAACGACCTGTTGAAAACGGACTCGGCGTTGTTGCGTCTCGCTCTGCCGTAAGCCTGCGCGTATGTGCGTCTCGTTTTGTCGCGTTTTAGGTACCGCAAGAGGCGTCCGCGCGGGCCCGCAACTCGCAACAAACTGGTCGCGCTGCGATCTATAAGGGCGGCTTCTCCGCCCGCCCAGCGTACGGCTCTTGAATAAGTAGAGCGGTAAATAGCACGGACACCTGGTCCGATGGTGACGCACGCACCTACATAAAGCCTGTCTTATCTCCCGAACAAATCGAATCTTAAACGGCAAACGTTAAGTTTGACTGTGGGACCGGGTGTGCACGTGAATAATAGAAAAGACACGGGAGTGTAGCATCCTGCCACAGCTGTTGTGCTACTTATTATGTATGAGGATCAAAAACCAATAGGAAGCTTTATTTACCAATACAAACTTTTAATCATTTTTCCATTTATTGATAGATAAACTTTAATCGTGTTAACATGACCAACATACTTATAAGTAGGCAGGCATAGGAGTAGGATTACGAACTACAATTATTGGTTAGAAATAATTATGTAACAACACCTGGTGATACCACAGAATAGATACCAGTATGCTATCACTGACAGTCGCGCAAATCTCTACCTATTAATTATGTTGTTTGCGATTATCACAAACAACAGCACCAGGCTTAAGGTTCAATTTCCTTAACATCGAGAGAGTGGGAAAAATTTAGGCTGCAGAAGCAGTTTTGGTTGAAGCTAATGATTTGATATCAGATCCAAGTTAGTTTTTCGTGCTTTTTAGCTTGTGTAAAACAGCTGTTCTGTTTAATACATTAATTGAAATTCATGAAGAACTAACGCTGAGACCTTATTTTAACCATAACAATAATAACTGGGGCTTTTTATATGGAGTTTGACAGATTTTTGACGTTTGTCAAAGTTATAATAAGATGGTGCAACTCAGCCTAAGAGCTGAATCACAGGAGCTGAATCCTATCTGCTGTGAATTCTTGGTAATTCTCTCACATAGTAGTAGAGTTACGATAAAGTTTAAAATAAGTACGTACCTACATGCAACTACTTAAATAAACTTCTATAAAGTATAGCTAGACCATCAGCTTCATCTAAAACAGATGGAGTTAATGAAGTTATAGGAATCCACTTTGGGAACCTAGCGCTCCAACCCGATTAGGTCTGCGTAGATGGGCTAATTAATAAACCTACTATTACTATGTACAAAGTTCTCGTATCTCGAATTCTTGACCACTAGCTGGAATCGTGTTTATACGGTTACTTCGTGGTATCTTTCGATACAAAATATCAGGATTTGATTTTCAGAAGAGACACGTAAAACGGAATAATGTTGGGAGTTTGTATTTCTAGTCGCTACAAGCATTCTGTTCCCGCTTGGTAAACATATCGATAAATCTTAGTGTGTTTTATATGACTGGTAGAGAATGCTTTTATCATTAAGTTCATATTTGTGCAATAAAGTTGTAAGTTTAATAATATGGAGAGTAATCACTAGCGGAGCCTTACTACAGTCTAGAGTAGCCTTGAGCAGAGCTTATGACAAAATTAATTTTTTGACCACGTTATGGCGGGAAGCAGAAGAGAAACTATTTTTTTTCACATAATTAGTTTGCGACTTTACCTAATCGAAATCAACACAAACTGTTAGATTGTCCATCTAAAGGTACCTGTGCAGGACACGGCTTTTACAGAGACCGGCAGCAACACCATAAAATAGCCACAGTTATTATTTGTGTATAGTTATAAGTATAGAATAGATAAAAATACACCCAAATACAGTAGCATAGATACATACCTATAGCTACTATAGGCAGCTGCGCATGAGCGCAAAGGATAGCAATAGTGCGGTATAGAGAAACACCGACACGCGATTTCGTCTCACATGCAGACGTAAACAAGAACAGTGTGAACAAGAGCATAGGGACCATATAAGATGCTACACGTACCTACTTATTATAAACATACCTACCTACATAGATATACACAAGCTACACTAGATTTTAAGTCCAATATAACTGAACCAGCAAAATCTCTTTAGTTATTAACGGTAGAGCCTGAGCACTGCTAAGATTAATTACTTTACAGCGAAGTAAGGATTAAGTGAACAAGTGAAAACGATACGGCTAAAGTTGATGCTAAAAATTGGTAAGTTAAGTTTGTATAGCAATTACCTAATAATGCCTCATGAAAATGTAATTTATTGGATACGGTAGTTTTTATAGCAACTGAAAATAGTACGAGTGGAAATCGTTTTACAAAAACTTTGTTTCTCTCATATTTTATATTAATTGTACCCAATAGAGAATTATACCTACTTACTAGGAATTTTATGTTTTTTGTGTGTAACTAGAACTAGGTATTGAAATAAGTAATATGCTATCAGCAATTTGTACAAGACAATGATTATTATGATCATCATAATTTCAGCCACTGCGTTTGCCATTGCTGAACATTAGTGAACATAGGCTTTCCCTAATTTACAGATTGAGATTGCCTTTCCACTTTTATGAGGTCGCCTGTCCACCTTGTAGGTGTGATCAAGTCAATACAATAACTAATTTTGTACGAATTGAAGCGATTGAACACAAAATGTAGGTACTTAATTCAATTTAGAATTTTTAAATGAAGTTTCAAGACTAAAGTGCCAATAGGTAGACTGACTTTAGACAACATTAGACATTTATGTTTGAATATTTTCCTCACCTGTACCCACCTATTTAACCCAAAAGCAGAGTACGTGCCCTTACCTAAGTACAGACGGGAAGACGTGAGCCGAATTCGTTCTCTGAACTGCTCTGAACGCTATCATCGCCATCTTGTATTTATAAATATTTCAACATTTCAACTTAATTGCAAAGGATTATTGACGACGCAAAGAAATTGAAATAATAATTTTAGGTTCTAATTAAAGCCTGTTTGTATCATAGTCATAAAATTTTGGGTTTCGGCTAAACATACTGAAATAGAATAAAACTAGGTATTTTGAAATTGAACTGTGAAGGTGCCGGAATGACCCGAAGAACGCGGGTTCGATCCCCGCTGCGTTCGACTAGTGTTGAATCCACTATAAATCGTAACACACGCTTATTTAGCTTACCACGAGGGGCTATAGTATTTTACATTTAACTAGCTGACCCGGCGAACTTTGTTCCGCCTTAATGGCAATAAATAAGCAGACTTTTTTTTTATTTCGAACGGGATAAAAAGTATCCTATGTCCTTCTCCTGGCTCTAAACTACCTCCCTGACAATTTTCAGCTAAATCGGTTCAGTCGTTCTTGAGTTATAAGCGAAGTAACTAACACGACTTTCTTTTATATATATAGATTCTTTTATATATATAGATATAGATTTACAAATTGCTAAAAATATATTTGTCATAAGTTTGGTTAATTAATGACTTGTAATCACATATTTACTGCCACGAATGATTTCGAGAAAATCAAACACTTGAATCACAACTCAAACTGGACATCGAACCGCGGACGACGGGAAGCGTGACACGCCCGATACGAGGGAATTCAGGGATCAGGACAAATGTTCGGAGCCCCATACAAATGGTTACAAAATGCAAACTTATTTTGTTCTCAAACGGGAACCAAACTTACCTACTATCAAACCAAAAGCCACATCACAATATTAAAATTCTTACGAAAGCATTTTTTCAAATAACAACGTTAACACTATTTACCTACCCAAGATACGGAAAAGTTAAATTATATTCCTTTGCCGATTTTCCTGCGATAAAAGAAGGTGCTTTTATGGCGGAAAAATCAAATGTACAAATTCAATAAACTTCGTAAATGTAATTTCTACGATTTATTTAACGTAACTAACAAACCGAATTACAGAGAGGCGGCGATGATAAAATTATATCCCATCTTAATTCCAAGGTGATACCTGAACCTATTAATCCTGCCAATACGGGATGGATGCTGCAGTAATTGGTTTTCATCGCTGTGAGTAAACAAACTGGGTATGTGTGAATTGTGCAATGGGATGATCAAAGACTACGCGTCACAGTGCGGATGTGCGCAAACATTATTTGGGTGTTTATTGCCGTGAATTGAACTAAAAGCAGAAATTATTTGTACATAATAACATAAGTAGGTACTATACTTATATACTTACTTATTTACTTATTCCCTCAAAACTTTTAGAATGGATTGTAATTATTCTCTTACTAGCTTTTGCCCGCGGCTTCACCCGCGTGAAATTTAGTTTGTCACAGATCGTCATAAATTTCCCGGGGGAGCCTTTAACCCCTATGGGATGGATATGGATAGGCGCTCACACTCCGCAATGAGTGACAGTCTTGGCGTCAGGTGGCAACCGGCCGTAAAAGAAAGAAAGCCAANTGCCCTAATACCAAAGTATGCTTGGTAGGTTTTAATCACTACTTCAGTGATCTTATTTCTTTGCTTTTGTAAGTTTACAAGCCAAATATTAATAAAATCTGTTGGGGTTGTAAACGTAAAGTTTTCATAATGAACTTATATTTTTTGAGACAAAAAGCTCTTTAAAAATTAATTTAAAATACAGAAACTGATAATTTCAATGTCTAGTAGCTGATAACTAAATTGTTGTAACTACAACTACACTAATACATGAGTAGAAAATAAAACTTAGTGGGGTATAATCAAATTAATTAAGTTTAGGGAGGGTCGTTTAATTTTTTTCATTGATTTCTTGCGTCTCGTTTATCTCAAGAACCAGAGTCAATCCAAAGAAAGTAAATGCACACCATTTATGTCTAATACATGTGTTTAC